CCGAAATAAAAGTGAAACACAAATGGAGCAGAAGGCGTCAATTGACAATAGACTGAGTTCTAATGGACTGCAAACAACAGATCGTAGTAGCGGTAATTGGCGCAAGAGTTGAGGGGAGGTTAAGAGGGGATGTAAGTTACTGTGTGACTGTTAATTTGTGTTCGGTTACATCACTCTTGCTTTCATACTTGTCCTGTACTCCTGTTGCTCTCCATTAGGAGTCTTATTGTGAGGTCTCTGATGGTAGCACAAGTAGCTGGGTCTGATTTTTTTTTTCCTTGGCACTACAGCCCCAGTGGGTCTAGGCCTACCTCCATGAAACTCTCAGTTCACTTCGGTTTTTCTAGATCTTACATGTTCGGTAGGTCTCCTTGGGCGGGTGATCAGCTCGTCGCAAGGCCTCTACCTGTACACAAACACAGAAAAACGCACACACACAAACTAAACATCCATGCCCTGAGTGGGATTCGAACCCACGATCCCGGTTTCCAAGCGAGCGAAGACAGTACATGCCTTAGACCGATCGGCTACCGTGACCGGCGCTGGGTCTGATTACTCGTCCTAAACATTTAACACGATTATGTACTGTAACCGTCCATTCTGACTGGAGGAGTGTTGTGTGAAAATTAAATTTTGTATTAAGTTAAGATTAACAATATTACAAACAAAGAGATCCGGCAGATAGCCAGCTCTTACACGCGGAAGGGACATAGTTCAAGTTTTGCTATGTGAACAGTAAGTAACATCTGGTACTTTCCTAGAATTCTGGCAGTTTCAGCAACGTCGGAAAGGCTTTGAGAAAATGAGAGCTGACAGCTTGGGACAGCGATAACTTAGAAGTGGGACGGCCGGAGCCTCACACCCTGACTGTAATGCATCAAGGGGCTGTCATCCTTAGCGTCAGGTCAGCATCTGCCAGAATCACATAGCAGAGCAACATGATTGGGAATTCAAAATTTAGGGAACCTCCTAGTTTGAAAAATTAACCAATGGCAGAAGTGGAGGAGTGGATTTCTCTTGGAGTCTGGGGTTCGTGGACCTCAGAATTCAGAGAGAGGGCATTCCACCTCGGAGAGTCTTGACACTACTTTCGGCAAAGTCGGACACTAAATTTACCACTACGGCCCTTCCGTAGAATAGTATAAGTACAGTACAAAGCAACAGTAGTAAGAAATTCAGTTGTATTCAGAAAGCCGGAAGGTATTAAAGGACTACCAAGTGCAACCGTCGAAAGGTGGGTGATTGTAGTGAAGTGTTCTTCCTGCCCTGTCCGAGCCAGACCCTTATAAGACCCTGGGATAGGAACCCAGCTCTACTGATTAAAGTAAAGAACCCAAAGAAGTGAGCGGTGGTGGAGTGGCGCACAACGAAAAGGGCACAAAGGAAGTGAGCGGTTACAGTACATCATAGTTCCACATAACAATTCATGTTCTATGACCCATAACCGTCTCTAGTTCCCATTCTTTATCTGTTATACGTTGTATATGCATTGTATTACTTACACATGACATTTATATGTACTCATATTATTAAAGGTCAATAATTGAAATGCGGAATGTGTTATGTCTTTTTGATTACAAGCAGTAACATTCTTATGCTAACACAAGGATCTTCCATAACCCTGCGTTAAAATTGTCCTCCCGTCTCTTCGTTTATCTCTACGCATGAACCAACTCGAGAGTGCCTGAATAGATTTTAACGAAGTTTAGTATTGATGGCTTTTACTGGAATTTGTTAACAGATTCCAATTTTAGTTAAAATATTTATCGGAAAGAACGATATTTCGAATAAAAGTTGAAGAGAAAGTGGATTATATATTTTAGTTCAGCACTTTCTTTCCGCAGTGACAATTAAACAAGGTTCTTTACGCTACTCGTACTCTGCCTTGTTTATATATTGAAGCCAACACTAATCCTCCGAACGTAAGCGACGATTACCGAATAAACAATACAGATTTTCCTTACACACGAAGATATCCGAGGCCTTATTCTTAATAATAATAATTAAACGAAGCTTCTTTTCCTCTGAATTTACAGGTCTACATACTTACTTACTTACTTATGGAGCTAAGCCTTTCTTGAGGAGCCGCCAAATTTGCAGATACTCAAGAATTTCACAGCACTTTATGGAACCCGAAGGTTCATTACCGTGTTCACAAGAGCCCTCCACTGTTCCCCATCCTGAGCCAAATCAATCCAATCCTATCTCTCTAAGATCCATTTTAATATTGTCCACCCACCTACGCCTTGGTATTCCCAGTGGTCTGCAGGTCTACATATAGTTGCATAAATGTATTTTACTGAAATGCAATTTTACGTAAGAATGCAAGTTCTTTTTATTTTTATCTTAATGAACACACAAAATATTTGAGCTTTTCACAATGTATACTTGAGCATGGATGGTGGCATGCCATTTATAACTCCTTTTGTGGAACGGGCATCGTTTTGAAGTATTGTTTATGTCACAAACACATAGGTAATATGTTCTGACTTAATTTAAACAATGAGTATGTTTTCTCTGTACCAAGTAATGTTATACTTTAGAGACACTAAACACTTAAAAATGTGGCGGAGCAACACGTCATATGACCACTGTGTATTTATTATACAGACTCATACCACAAAACATAGACATTTGTCAATACTTTTGGATTGCGTAATTATGATTCCTGAATATAAATATAAATTACAATTATTGGGAAATTATGACTTTAGGTGAGGTCTTTTTAGTAACGAAAGTGGTGGACGAATAAGATGGAGAGCGAAGAAGTGATAAATACAGTTTCAGCCAAAACTGCAGGAGTAGTTGAAAACCATCAACAAAGGGAATAGAATAGTAAACCACATAGATTTACGTACATTGCATGGAGCGTATGAAGACAATAATGAAAGGAAGTGGCTGTAACTTTTAGCTAAAAACTTATTAGGCTGAGACAGAAACAAGTGGTGAAACGAGAATGAATGTGTTATATAGTATGTTGTATGCAGGAATAGCACGTATGATTATGCTGTAAAAAAAGAAAAGAAAGGGTTTAAGATGCAACATTGTTGACTTAGTCGTTTACAACAGTAACCAAAGCACAAGTAGCCATTTTATACCGCCATTTAATAAAACTGTCTCCATGTTTCGCAATAAATGTCATTTCTTGCAGACGAAATAGTGTAATTCCTACAAATATGAACCACTCTTTCGTTACGACATGCAATATATATGTAATTGAATACTGAAAGCACGAGTCATATGCCTACATACAGTAGTGCATTCAGGAGACGCGACAGCGTAGTCTGGATAGCTACTGGCTACGTGCTGGATGACCTAGTGGTAGGAGATCGAATCCCTCTAAGGTCAATAATTTGTTTTTCTCTATGTCGTCTAGACGGGCTCTGGGGTCCACCATACCTCCTATCCAGTGGGTACTGTGGACTCTTTATTGGAGCTAAAGCGGCCGGGTCGTGAAGCTGACCACTCACCTCCAGCTAATGCCGAGGTCAAGAAAATATGGATCTATTCATTCACTCGCCCATACGCATTCATGGCTTAGTGTTTAATTAGTTAAGCACAGGGACAATTTTACAATAATGCGTTCGTTTTTAGTTTTAGAAGAGGATTAGGATAGTACTCAGAGATGGCTTCCGCCACACGCGCGGGATTCTGTGGGAGTAGACTTCCCCTACAGCAGCCGAAATCTATCAGGGGCTGTAATGAGACGTTGTTTTCTTTTGGGGGAGGCGAGCAATCTGACCATCAAGAAGGATAACTGGTTTCTGGCTAACAGAAGAAGCGGTCATGAAGAGGAAAGCTCCTCTGGAGCTCGGTTGCGGGTCCAGCTGGGACCAGCCCTAGGGATTTAACTGTCCCTCTCAGTGAACGATAGTGGGTGGTTCTAGACATCCTCTCTCGCTTCAAAGGGCTCAATTGTTGGCCGCTCGGCTGCTGAGAGGAAGAAGCCTTCGTCTCTCACGGAGTTTGATGGGGGACCCATGGATGCAAGACTGAAGGTCTCTTAATGGGGGTGAGCAGCCTGTCCATCAAGAAGAGGAAATGTTGGATTTGAGATTCTCACAGCCATGATTGCAAAGACTTCTTCCTCGGGGCTATTTATAGTCTGCTTGTTGCCTGTGTCATGTTGGTGCACACTTTGGCGCACTTTGACCCTGAAGATGGAGCCTGTATGTTCCTCCGAAACGTCGGTTGACCATCACTATATGCTACTGCCTTACATCGCAGGAGATATAGGTCTTGAAGAAGAAGAAATATCTGAGCAACAGAAGAAGCTGGTCAGAAAGAGGGAGAATCTATCCATGGAAACTGAGGGATCGGCTGGAACACGGTTGTAGGTCCTGTCGGAACCAGGAGTGGGGGTTCAGCTACCCCTGATAGTGAGTGCCAGAGGGCGATTGTCATGTCCTGCGGACAAGAGCTCAAGAGAAGGGGACTTACTGCCAAACTTAGATGGACCCTTCACGGGTAGAGCCGAGGGCCTCAGTCTGTCTTGTATCTAGCTGAGTCAGAGACTGTTCGGAGAAACGTGGGGAGGGTGACTGGAACGTGGCCCACTCCGTGTCATTGCGCAATACTCGGTTATCAGAGGCAGTCTTCTCTTTATGTGATATTATGATAACGTCCCATACCCTGAACTTCAATAAACGCGAACTTAGATCTTACGCGCATTCTTGGATAAATAATCTGAACAGCTCGCACTAGAATGTTCGGAAAGTAAGTAAAGTAAAGTAAAGTAAAGGTATCCCAGTAACAGGCCATGGAGGCCCATAGGGCGGTGAGATGTTGAGGTTCCCACATTTTCTAGACGATCGGCTCATAGATGGAGGTAAGGTTGTCAGCCCTCCGCGCCGGCCGCCCTTTACCCCCAAGAACATTCCAAGAATATTCCTGGTACCATTTCTGTTAGATGCTGAGTCGACCCAAGGCCGTAGTGCGGCTGGAAGGGTTAGGTAAATTGAAAAATATCCAATGACCTCATCGGGATTCGATTCCTCGACCTTCCGGCTTGTAGCATGGTGCCTCAACCAACTAAGCTACCGAGTGCATGTTCGGGAAATGTTACATGTAAATGGAATATAAGTGTCATACATATAACAGAGATCAGGGAACTCCGGTCGTCAGAGACGGAGTATGACGGATATGGGGGCTGGCGATCGGAATCTTAATATTCTGTTTTTTCTTAAGAAACAGTAACAATCTACACTCGTCATCGCTTAATGTATTTGGTGATTTGTACGAATTAACGAAGTTTTTTTATATCTCAACATAAGGAGGCCTCCGAAATAAATAACATTTAAATTAGATGTCATGTTTCCAGTATTAACGTTCTGGAAAGTGTAAGCACAAGATCGTCACTTCCGTTTGCATTTTGCATCACTGATTAACAACAGTTAAGAAACACTTCTTGGCGATTTCGTTTCCTGTTCTCGTATTTCCGGTACTTGATTATTCCGCGCTGTTCTTATGGATGCTGTTGGCCAAATGAAGGCGGTGCATGCCTGGCTTGCAATTTAATCTAAACCGCGAACTGAATTAAGTTTACGACAGGCATACGAGTATTCGAGCGTCCGTATCTCGCGATGATGACGCTAGACGATGGTGACGACTGCTGCCACCGCCGCTCCCCTAGCCATAGCGTCGATGTGGGGATGTTGGGGTCGGTGTGTTTTCCGTCGCTGGGAGGACCAGCGAGTGCTGTCAGCCAGCGGCATGTTTTCCCCGGCGTCGTGTTGTGCCCGGGATTGAACACTGGTCGGACAACACGCCCCCAGTGCTGCCGCCAACCAGCTAAACGGCGCTTTCTTTCTGCAAAAGAAAGAATTGTATAAATATCTCCAGAGGTAATTAGTCTGTGTAGATCATTTTACTTCATGGAGTTTTAGACGCTCGGGTAATTTGATTGAACTTATTCTCATGTGAATATATTGTGATATGTAGACCCATTTCTAGGCAACGCCCGCACTACGAGCACGCAACAATAGAAAATGTCTTTTTTGTGTGGTCCGCTTCATGCCCATTGATTAGCAAGGGGTCTCTAAACATATCCTCGCAGAAGCAAACGCAAAGAACAGTAGGAAATCTATTGTTAGGCAACGGCGCGGCAAACAGGTTTTGTCTGTGTTTTCCGTGGGGTTCTTGCAAAGTTGTTATAAGAGAATCGAGTTCCGAAGCTTAGAGTTCAGTTCAGTAGTCGAGTCAATTGAGGGTTTAGCTGTGGACTTTTAACAAGCGGACGACGGAAGCTAAGATTCGTTACCAGAAAACGTCTAGTGAAGACACGGCAGAGGAATAGCCGTTGTGGAGAGATGTTGCCAAGTAAAGACTAATGAAACTAGACTGAGAAGACTTAGTGCTGTGTGATTTATAGTGTGAAAATCAACAATAATGTAATAGTTATTTGTAGTTACGACCTGTAAGTGGCCAATAAATCTATTCGCCAATCCAAACCCCGTCTATAGTCACTAATACACATGACAATATGTGCCAGTTTGCTATATATATGCGTAAGGGAGATGTACAGTACGGAGAATTTAACGTGATGCTATTAGCGGGCAGAATAACATTATTTTTTTAATATTACGCATGCACCGTGTAAATTGCAAGGTTGTACCGTATTTTGTACGGACGGGAAGAGAAATTCGAGTCATCAGTTTAGTAGCTCCATATTAGGAAGATCACGCATGGAATTATTCTAGTAAATGCCATAGTAATTATGAGATGTTTTCCAGATCTGTTGCTGCTTTTTCACTACTTCTTCATTCGCTGACTGTTTTCAGGCTCCTGCCCTATTTTCCGCCAAATCCATGCAAGCCGCTTACCACCGCAAGTTAAGAGAACAATAGAAGAATAATTTTACCAAAAATGAAATCATATCGATCTGTCTAACTTCTTTGAATACGGACCTTTTGGAGAAACTGATAGTTTCTTAGCCGAATGAGAATTTTCCGCCTTTTATGCTCATGTAAATGCCTCGTCATTAGAATGTAGGAAAACACAATACTACAAAGATAGCTAATAAAACCTTCGGGGCTGTAGCAATGATCACTTAGCCTTTCTGGGAATGACAAGTAAATCACTTTTGAAGAATTAGAGGGGTGGAAATTCGGGGACTGTCATTTAGTTAAGGATATTTCATTTTCCATATCCTATCCAAAAAATCGAAATGTTAAATTATATATCTATGGTTCTACAGCCCTTTATGAATTTGGCCGCTTTTTCAGTGTCTTGTTCCTATACAGATTCGGTAGAACTCCATGGACTGGTGATCAGCCCGTCGCAAGGCCAATACCTAAACACAGAACAACACAAACACAGACATCCATACCTGGAATGGGATTCAAACCCACGGCCCCACACCTCGAGTAGGATTCGTACCCTCGGTCCCAGTGTTCAGGTGGGAGAAGGCCGTTCATGCCTTAGACCCTGCGGGCACTGTGATCAGCAAATGTTAAACTATACCCTACAAAATAACTTCTGCTTTATACAAGCGAGTAGCTTCATTCCTCGACAGAAGGGATTAACATCGTTTGAGAACCGAACACTGAGGAGAATAATTAGACTAAAGAGGGATGAAATTGCATGATGAGGAGCTTCATAATTTGTACACACCAATGTTAGAGAGGCCAAATAAGATTCATTACATGAACGAGGCAAATAGGATGTACAGTGAAACTGTTAACAGAAAACCCGAAGAGAACAGACTTCCGAGGCTGAGGTATGCGTGACGATAATATTGAAATGTATAATTATCGAAGTTCCGGGTTCCATTAAAAACACAAGTAATTTATCGAATACTTGTAGTATACGAGTATAACGCCTTGTATTCCTGTGAAATTTAACCGACGTTCCGGAGAAACATATATACATTTTCAGGGTATGAAAATAAGTCAAGCAAGACAACAGGTGCTGGTCTCTCCGAGCTGCTTGCTGTCTGCTTGATGCTGGTTTCTCCCAGCTGCTTGCTGTCTGCTTGATGCTGGTTTCTACCAGCTGCTTGTTGCCTGCTTCATGTTGGTTTCTCCCAGTTGCTTGCTGCCTGCTTCATGTTGGTTTCTCCCATTTGCTTGCTGCCTGCTTCATGTTGGTTTCTGCCAGCTGCTTGCTGTCTGTTTGATGCTGGTTTCTTGCTTGGCTTGCTCGTCGACTCAGAAGCTGAAGGCTGTATGTTTCTCTGAATCGTCGGTTACAGTTTTACCAGACTCCACGGTGTTATATTCCAGAAGACTACAAGTTGTTCCCTATGCTTAACTAATTAAGCACTACGCCATGAAGGCATATGGGGGAGTGGATGTATAGATCCACAATTTCTTGATATAGCAGAAGACAGAATTCTTAATAGACGCCGATGTGACAAGCATTATACTGACCATCTGAGTGACAGCGCTCTATCGTATTAGGACGTAATATTCAGACACTTCAACACCCGAGAGAAACAGGAATCCAAATATACAGGCGTTATGTACCAACATGTGAGGGAAAGTCCTAATTACTTTCATGTTGCTAGCGACGTATGTAGAACATGAAACAGTTCGCAGATTTCAACGGATCATTCAGATCTTCAGCAACCAATGTAAAATCATCACTATGTCTTAATTGTTTGATTAAATGACGTCTGTAAGTGTTCAAAATGCTTAGATGTTACCACTTCTCATTAATTTATTTGGGTGACTGTGTCACATCTTATTCTGTGCTATCTGAAAAACAGAATCCATCTTCACCTTTGTTTACATCTTCGTGTAGAGCACCAATCTTCTCTCCTGGGAGCAATAAAAGCTGCGCTCTGGGGGCCATGGTATCGATTCCCGCCCTGATTAATAGCACCGATTAGTTCTAGAGAATGGGGGAGTACGAGCGACTGGTCGACAGATGTGCGACAAGATTCCTTTAATTTACGTTCTCTGTTTCGCCTTAACAGGCAAAGAATTCTGAGTTGCAGAAATTAGATTAGATTTTATCTGTGCAGTTTCTTTTCACAAACACCAATAGAACGTTAGTAGCATTATACGGTGTCCCAAAACGAGACTCTTCTCTAATGAAAGGATTACACTACACAAGAAACAGAATAATTTCATTGAGCGATTAATAAAATCAGTATGGCAAGGATAATCGGGTTTATGAAATGAATAACTATATGTTACGATTCCTGTATTTTCGTCAGCTCTTCTAGACCGACTTTGGGCTCCGAATCAGTATGTACTGAGGAGGGAGGCTCTTTGTTTCCAATAGTAAAAGCGGCTGAAGCTGGAAGAGAATAAAATGCGTGGAAATTTATTTTCCAGTTCTCATACTGTTTGATATCTTTGTGAGAACTAACCAGTTCCTAATGAGACTTTCTTACATAAGATGAAATAGTTACGAAACGACAGTTAAACACTTCCAAGATGAATTTTATTTAGAAAATATGTCTTTTTTATGTTTCGCCGATATTAACGGTCGCATGGTCTAAAGCGCATATGTTCACATCCCACTCGGGAATAGATGGCTGTGTTTACACATATGTTGTCCTGTATATGTAGAGACCTCGCGATGGCCCGATCCCCCATCATAAAGTTCTGTGAAATATGGAAGAAGTCATAGATTCAGAAGTTAGTTCTGAATTGGAACAGGTCGGAGGGCCTAAGTGTAAATGCTGAGAAAAATTACATCCTGTGTCTTATGAGATTTGAGGTTCTTACGGCAGTGACTGGCAATTACCGTATGCTGGGATGTGCCGTGTAGGTTGATTGATACATACCAACATTTCTGATGAATAGGCTGTCTCCATCTTTACTTCTACCCTGAATATGAAGGGAACTGGTTCCTCCGAAACGTTGATACCCATCTACGAAACCACACGGCGTCTCATGCCAGAGAACTTTCCATCAGGCTTCAAGATTATATATTGATTTGTATATTTCCATGGTAGTTTACCATGTGCATTGATAGAAACCATATGGTCAGGGAATGTAGCACTCACGGGGGTGGGAAATGACTGCATGTAAGGTTTTGGTGGGAAAGCCAGAAGGAAAGAGGCCACTAGGAAGACCTAGACATAGGAGGTAGGGTGATATTCGAAAAGATATTAAATATAGATTATGGGGTGGTATGGACTGGATTGTTCTGACTCAGTTTAGAGACCAATGGAGGACTTTTGTGAGTACAGTAATTAATTTTTGGGATCCACAGAATGTTCGGAAATTCTTGAATAGCTGAGCGACTGGTGGCTTCTCAAGAAGTACGTCTCCATATAGTTAGTATGAATGGCAACCATGTTAGACGATTTGAAGGTCGTAGAGACGGAAGTATATATTAACAATGACAATGCGAAACACCAAAATTTGAGAGGAAGATATTAAAAATGTTCTTTATAACAAGGATGAATTTCATAATTTATAGCGAAATACAATAGAAACGCATATTTCGTGTTAGAATGAACACGGAGAGAAATTAGTGCTTATTCATGGGAAGTGGTAACGAAAATTATGCCACTTTTTGTGTTAGTTACATGACTTATAAAACCACAATTAATATCGACCGGTATATTGGCATGCTGAGTCACCGGTGACGTTGAAATTTAAGATGAGCATAAAGTAACACCATGTGATTCACTACCGTACAAATCACACTTCCAATCCAACTTTATGACAAACTTAGTCATTTTCAACATCACCCAATCGTAACGAGGTGCAGCATCGTACTGTTCATCATAATTCTAGCTTTATTTCACGGTTCAAGAAAATAAAATCCTTTTTATGTTTCATGTGGAGTTTTTCCGCTTCTCTGCTTGTGCCACAACCGGCACCACAAAAAACAACAAAGCTTTACGA